ATTGTGATTTTGAAGCAATGATAGTAGTAAAAGATATTTGGAGACATTGCAATAAAGTGATATGAATATGATTATAAATTATATTGACATTAAATTCACAGGTACTGCTAATAATATGGATTTGTTATCCCCATTTATAAATGAGAGGGAGGGTAAGTTTTAAGTAGCAGTTAGTGAAATAAAAGCATATTTTTCCTTCCAAGTTCATGGACTCCATGGGTCCCAAGATAACTGTTTCCATATTTTTAATCTTTGTATCTATATCTTTTCATAAGTGATTGTGTTATAAATGATATATTATTTTCTTTTGGAACTCTCTGTCTTTTGATCAGATAATCAATCCATTTATACTTATTGTAATTATTGCTATATTTCTGACTTCCCCCTTGCCTTCTTTTTTTTTTTTCTGGTACTGGGAATCGAACTCACGACCTTGTGCTTGTCAGGCAGGTGCTTTGCCACTGAGCTAACTCCCCAGCCCCTCCCCTTGCCTTCTTATTTACTCTATGTATCAGTTATAATTGGAGTTGACTTAAATTATAGAAAACTTAAAGAAACAGTGGTTTACTTATTTATTTTTTTCTTTTATTTGCACTTATTTTATGCTTAATTTATTCCCATGCCATAAGTTTTTGTTTCTTCAGTTTCTTCTGGGGTATCTTTTTCTTCTGTGCAACTTTCTCTTCTGGTTTAGGAACAATTTGTTCCTTTTCAGTAAGGGTCATCTCAAAGTAGGAGGGGGAGCTCATGTACGGGTTAATCTGGCCATGAGCTGTGTAATACCGTGATGCATCTTGGGTGCTTTGTTCACCTGGATATGTTCAATGACCAGAGAATCTACATCTAAACCCTTAAGTTCATCATTACTCTCTGAATTTTTAAGCATGTGCAGCAAAAATTCAGCATTGTTTTTGGGCTCCTGACCCTGTGTCCAGCCTCACTGTTTGGCCTGGACATACAAACTGGGCATACAAACTTCACGATTGTAATGCCAGAATGGCACACATTGCTTCTTTAATGTGATATCCTTCAGATATGTGGTGGCCTTTAGGATATGCTGACCCTTGAGGGCCTGGGCAGTTTCAAGGGGATTCTTAAAGTGAACACAAAGATTTGAACCTCTTGATTTGCATGATGTTGTGGGGTTTTCTGGGTCAAGAGAGTAGTGAACCATTTTCACAGGTCACCTCAGACCTCTCACAGGAAGAGAATAATAGTGGTTTAAATCAGATACATTTTTATCTGCCTCTTGATCTACAACTGGTATAGTAACTTCTTAGTTGTCAGAGACCCAGTTTCCACTTCCTTACCTTGTCATTTCCGTCTTCGAGTTTATCAGCTCAAGCTCCAACATGGTTCTTATGGTCTCATTCCAAGCGGGAAGAAGGGAATATGGTGGAAAGGTGAAAAAAAGGTGAAACTCCACTTATGTTTCCAATGAATAAAACGAGGCTTCTATTACTATGGAGAGGACAGTGGATACTGAATCTCTATTAGCAATCTCTGCCTTAGTCTTTCTGTCACTGCTGAGAGCCCAGCTGTCAAAAGCAATGGCTCTGAGCTTCCAATATGGTACCCATCATGAAAGGACCAGCCTGCCATCTGGTGGCAGGCTGCTTGTACTGGATTCCTTTCACTATAGAGGTTGCATAGATTGATCTTCACTGGAATAGATGTTCATTCAACTATGGCTTTGCTTCTGTCTGCCGTGCTTCTCCCAGAAACATCATAGATAGATTTACTGAATGCCAGGGGCTGGGGATTTAGCTCAGCGGCACAGTGCCTGCCTGGCAAGCGCAAGGTCGTGAGTTCGATTCCTGGTACTGGGGGTGGGGAGAGGGGGGAAGGTTCACTGAATGCCTTTTAATAATCACAGCAGTCCAGACAGCATTGATTTTGGTCAGAAACCTCATTGTTTTCAGCAAAAGAAGTAAAGAATTTGCCAGGTGAGCATGAGATTCAGTGGTCTTGTTACATGCCTCCATGACCAGAATCATCTAGCTTTAGGGTTTTCTGACATGGTCTGTTGGGACCTGGTTAGTGTCATCTGAGGGACAACCTCATATGCATCTGAAACAAAGGATTTGGCCTGCGCTTGAGACCATGTTTCTCTTTATCAGAGTTGGTAGGCCAGAGACTCTTAGGCTGGATAATTTTCTCTTTGTAATGGTTTAAATATGAAGCATCACCCAAAGACTCATGTTTTGAGGGCTTGAGTCCCAGTGCAGGAATATTCAGAGGTGGGGCTTAGAGAGGGGACAGGGCCATGAGGCTGTTAATCTCATGAGTGGATTAATCCCTTCATGAATTCATAGCTGGGTGCGCTGTTAGGAGGGAGGGCCCAGTTTGGTCTCTAGATACGTGACTTTGAAAGGTATGTTCTGTCTCTGCTCCCCTCCTCTCTGGTTCTTCCCTTGATCTCTGCCTCCTGGTTGCCATGAGGTGAAAAACTGTCTTCCACCACACCTTTCCACCATGATGTTTCTGCCCTGGAGTGAGTGGACCATGAACTAGAACCTCTGAAACCGTGAGCCAACATCTCCCCCTTTAAACTGTGTGTGTCAGGTATTTTCTTTCCTTCCCTGAAACCTTTGTCTCTACTAGTTTGGAGGTTCAAGGATCCAAAGAAATAATGTTTCCACACAATACAACACAGAGGCGCTGCTGATTCAGAAGCTGAGACACACATCTGCCTGTTTCAGACTTCTCGTGCCAGATGAGCAGAAAGAGGTGGGGGGGATGGGATAAATTCTGCACTGGCTGCAGTAATTGATTCTGGTTGTCAAATACAGTAGCTGCTTCACAGTGAGAAGGAGGAGAAGTATGTTTCCAGATCCCCTGAAGTCCTCTGGGTGCCTTCTAATTCCATGGCTGCTGGTAAAAGTGAATAGAAGGTGACAGCAACCAAATATGAGAAGGACAACCTGGGGCCAAAGGGACAAGGGAATAAGTGGTCAAGGAAAGATATAAATGCCTCCAGACCTGTGGAAGAAATGAGCACTTAGCTATACATTCTCTCTTCTGTACTATGCCATGCAGATACTTTGCAGATGTAGCTAATTGTCCTGATTTCATCCTCTACCATTTCGCATAGGGGAGTTTATTAGTGCTAGACTTTTCAATTTAGTACATCACATAGAACACTAAGATAGGATAAGATTAGATGAGAGGAGAAATGAAATCACTCTGACTCCCCGGAGCAGGAGCTGGATGCAGTAACTGCTGGGGCTTTGGACGCCCCTCTCGGAGGAGAGAATAAGGCTGTTCTTGTTCAGCTCACATACATTTAATTTATATGGGGCGGGAACATTTTGTGGTGGTTTTGAGGAAGTATAAGAAGGGAAGGTAGGGTGGAAATGGAGGCTGAGTCAGTAAGGAGTAGCCTGTGGCAAATACTGCCTGCCAGTCCTATGCAGCGCCCTCTGAGCCTCTTCTACCCTGGCTTCCCCTCCTCTTCCTCCTCCTCCTTCTTTTGATACTGGGGATTGAGCCTGGGGGCCACACCCCCAGCCCCTCTTTTATTTTGAGACAAGGTCTTGCTAAGCCACTGAGTCACCCAGGCGGAACTCAAACTTGTGATCCTTGTGCCTCAGGCTTCCAGAGCGCTGGGACTGCGGGCGTGCACCCCCATGCCTAGCCATCATGGTTTTTTGTACCATGGAGGCTGAAGGATGAGAAATGCCATTTCCAGGTGCTTATGCAGCTAGAATGTCCACTTCACCTGACTTCTGTCAAGAAGATACAGACAAACCTGCAGGGGAAGGTGAGTTGAGCGCCAGTGGGGGTGTCCATGGAGGTGTCCGTGAGGCTGTTCTGGTGGCAGAAGCGTTTTGGTTCTCTTACAGCAGCTGCAGTGGACGTCCTTGTGCCAGGCCCTTTCTTGGCTTCTTGGTGCTGAGCAGAGCACAAGAGGCTTCAGGCTTCAGGCCTTGGCAGCTTTCCCGGCTGCAACCTGGGCACTGAGAGCCCTGCGTCAGTGGCAGTCGCAGAAGCTCTCCTGCCTGGCCAGTTTGCAGTGGGATTCGGGCTTAGGCCTTTCCAGCAAGTGTGAAACCCATCTAATCCCTGTGGTCAACCTGTCCTGTTCATATCTGCTGCATGGACTCTGTTGTCTACAGTGGAACCCTGCACTTTATTTTTGGTTCTCCCCCACTTCTACCTTTAATGCAATTAACCCTTCTTCTTCTAATCTCGCCACAAATTATAATCTTTTGCTTTCTTTAATGGTTACCCGTAATTATTATGATTCATATTCATGTTAATTTCTCCTGTCAATTTCTAAAGCTTATCAACATCCAGTAAAACAGCACTTTAGCGTATTTTCATTTCCTTCTGGCCACTGCCATTCCACTCCCATGTTAGCTTTCTGTGGTATTTATTCCTAGTGCAAGGTTTTGATGCGGGAGAGGTAGCCAACCTTGTTAGTTTATGATGTCAGCAGGAGCCAGGAGTGCATCATTCGTAACATGTGTTTTTAATCTTCCTTCCTTCCTTCCTTCCTTCCTTCCTTCCTTCCTTCCTTCCTTCCTTCCTTCCTTCCTTTCTTCCTTCCTTCATTCCTTCTTTCCTTCCTTCCTCTCTCTCCCTCTCTCTTCTCTCTCTCTTTCTTTCGTTCTTTCTGAAACAGGGTCTCACTATGTAGCCCAAGTTGGCCTGGAATTAACAGAGATCCTCCTGCCTCAGCCTCCCAAGTACTGGGATTACAGGTGTGCACCACCACACCTGGCTGTTTTTACCTCTAAAATAGTTCTGAAGAGCAGTATATCCCCAAATGTGTCACTGGAACATTATCACAGAGGAGCCGTGTTGGAATGTTAACACATTGGAGAGCCAATGCTTATTTAATGAGACATAGTTCACTTGTTTTTCTATAGACCTTGGAATCAAGTTGCTGCCACATTCTCTGTGTATACATTTGTTAATTTAGTATATATTTATTGAGTAACAACTGGGTGCCAAGCACTATTGTATGCTCTTAGATGTGTCAGTAAACAAAAGCAGACAAAAATTTTATGGAGGATACTTTTAGCAGGGGAAAAATATAATAAAAAGGATCATAATAAATGTGTATATTATATAGTATATGAGATGATATGTCTTATACAGAAAAGGCAAGTGGAGCAGGGTTGGGTGACAGTTATACCCTAGGGAGAGAAGTGAAGAGCGTGGTATTCTCCAGGGAAGAGTTGCTGCCCGAGGGAGCAGCCATAGCAATGGCTCTGAAGCCAGAAGCAAGCCCAGTATATTCTAATTCATCTTAAATAGGTCATTGACAAGCACCTTCCTTTTTTTCTTTTTGAATTCAGGCACAAGAAAAATTATGCAGATGAGTCCATGGTATAGCACCCACTGTTTACCATGCTTAATAACATATCAAGTAAGCATTGGCCATTACATTTTAAAATGTGTGCCCAGCACCAATGGACTAGACATTATCCACCAGCACTTGACATTTGTTCTGACGTCCTCTTAGTTGCAGAGGCTAAGGGACTAAAACTACCTTTTCTGGACTCCCTTATAGCTAGGGTCTGGATGAGATGTATTTCCTGCCAATGAGACCACTCACATGGGACATGCTAGCTCCTTGTGACAACAGTCACTGGTAAGCAAGTTTGACTAGTATGATGGTATAGCTGGACTGCACGTTCCAGAGTCTGCCAACTTCATGAATTAGGGTGTATTCTTATCCTTGGCTTCTCCCTTGTCTTTCTGCTTATTGGCTGCCATGAGTTGAGCAGGTGTCTTCTGGCAGATGCGTTCGCTGGGCCTTGTGCCTTGGAGCCAGTGACTGTGCCTTGGAGCCAGCTGACCATGCATGGTCTGAGCCCTCTAAAACCATAAGTCAAAATAAACCTTTCCTCCTATAAGTTGTGGGTGTCAGGTATTTTGTCCCAGTGAGGGGATAGTAACTAATAAAAAATGGATGAATGGGAGGAATTTGGAAGGAGATGGGTGGCAGAAGGTAAGAAAAGAGCAGATCATGGCTTTGAGAAATCTTTAAGTAATTCTCTAAATGCCTTAGCTTTTATTTTCTACCTGCAATGGCTTTCAAGCCACCCATTTGTCTTCAAGCCCCGTGGTAAGCCAGCACCACCATGTAAAGTCTAATCAAGTAGGCTATGGGGATCACCTCCCTATGCAGTTTCAGGGGCCCAGATCCCTTTCGCCTGGTGGTCACAACCTTCTCCAGGTCTTCAGGGTCCTCTCTGTTCAGTTCACAGATGGAGAGAGAACAGGGCTTGATGGGGTTGTGAAGGGCAGGCATGAAAGGGTGGTGTGCATTTAGGGCTTAGGTGTAAAAGAGGCCTCATAGCCTATAGACAGGAATTGGGTCACACGGCCATCCTTAGCTGCAAGAGAGGCTGGGAAGTGTGTTTCTGGAAGAGGTGATGAACATCTAGCCAGTCTCTGACATGACTGCCACTTGTAGCCCATTTCCGCACAATGATTTGATAACCTCAGAATTTCCCCTCTCACAGGATGGGGGAGAGAAGAAGCACCCACTTTCTTTGCCCTGCTCTGCTTTTGCTGTTTTCTCTCAGCATGTGTCACCTCCTTACGTCACTGGCTCGATTACTAAGCTCCCTGGTTGGTGTTGGTCTCTCCCCATCAGGGCATGGGCTCCGAGAGGGCCAAGATCCTTGTGTGTTTTGGTCATCACTGTGTCCTTGGCACCATCAGGATGGGGTTGGTGTGTAGTTTTTGGCTTTGAGCAAAAGAAAGTTAGAGAGAAAGAAAATCATGAGGACCCACCAGCCCCTACCTCCCTTCTTTGCACTGCTGGTCATCTGTGTCCTCACAGATGGACATCTGCGTCCTTATTCCAACAGCCTGTCAAAGCATGGTGGGTTACTGTGCAGTTCTGGCTGTGCAGAGATGTGCCTCACCCAAAGACATCAAGAAGGCATCTCAAAACTGACCCTGAAGTGACATCCAGACAAAAATCCTGAGAATAAAGAAGAAGCAGAGTGAAAATTCAATCAAGTATTTGAAGCATATGATATGTTATCAGATGCTAAAAAAATGAGACACCCCAGAAGAATATGGCAAAAAAGGATTCAGTGGTGGAGGAGGAAGTGATGCCATTTCCACAGTCCATGTGAGTTTGGCTTTGCATTCCGGGACCCACATGGTGTCTTCAGGGAGATTTTTGGTGGTAAGGATCTGTTTTTACTTGACTTCTTCAAAGACCCACTTGAAGACACTTTGGGGGACCTGACAGGGTCCCTCAGGAAGCCGAAGCTGGAGTACAGGCTCCTTTTCTCCACCTTCAGTGGATTCCATCCTTTGGAGGCGGATTTTCATTGATACAGGATTTACTTCATTCAGGCCTCTGGGTCACCAGGGCCTCATTTTATTCTTGTCCACATCATTTAGCGGCAGTGGAATGGGCAACTTCAGATCTACGTCAGTTCTACTAAAATCATTAACGGTAGAAAAATCACCATAAAAAGAATTGTGGTTTTTTGTTTTTTTTTCAATTTTAAAGATAAAAGAACGAAAACATCTTAACAAACACACATACATTTAGAAAATAACACAAAACAAGCAATACAGGATCTCACACAAGGTGGTAGGAAATTAACAATGGTTGTTGTATTACACATTGATATCTGCAATTTGGATACTCAGATAAACAAATATAGATGTGTAAGATTGATCGTGTACCTAAACACTAACCGTTCCTTTCAATAGAGCAATAAAAGTCAGTAGTACAACTGTGTTAGCTATCCTATGTATACACTGTTGAGATGACAACTGTGTTAGCTATCCTATGTATACACTGTTGAGATGATCGAGAAAGAATAGACATGCTGGGCATGGTGGCGCACATCTGTAATCCCAGCACTCGGGAGGCTGAGGCAGCAGGATCGTTGCGAGTTCAAGACCAGCCTGGGCTACAAAGTGAGCTCAAGACCAGCCTGAACTGCATAATGAGACCCTGTCTCAAAAAGACAAAAAAAGAAAAGAAAAAGAAAAAGAAAGAGTAGACATTAAAGAAAATAGACAGTTAAAGTCCTTAAGGATAAATATCAGGAAGCAGCTGCTGCCCAGCATGGTGGCACATGCCTGTAATCTCAGCACTCAGGAGGCTGAGGCAGGAGGATTGTTTCAAGTTCAAGACCAGCCTGGGCTACAAAGTGAGCTCAAGGCCAGCCTGAACTGCATAGTGAGACCCTGTCTCAAAAAGGCAAACAAAAAAACAAAAACAAAAACAAAACAAAAAAAAAACCCTTTAATATACATGATAATTCATTTCATTTATACTACTAGTTTCTTTTAGTTCATTGAAAAGAAAGTTTTGTGCTACTACCTGCTTCTTCTTCTTGAAAATCTTTTTTGGTAATATTTTGTACTCTACTTTGAAGATAATGGTATACAGTACATTAAAGATTGTTATTCTTTTATTATTTTGTGATCAAATTTTGTTTTATTGTTTCATAAAATTTTTTAAAAAGAGAAAAGAGAAAAAGGAAGTGAGGGGAGAGGGCGGGCGTGACGCCCTGGCCCAAGCTGAGCGCCCAGTAGACTGCCGAGCGGGAGAGGGATCTGTGTCTCCTTCGTGTGCCCAGACAGTCACAGAAGGCCAGAGTTCCAGACGGAGAGGACGGGCACACAGGGCTGAGGAAGGTCCCTGCCCCCAGGATGCCCAGCCCTTCTGGTCTGGTCCCCTGACTCCGTCTGGCTGAGAGACCTCTCCAGACAAGAGGCCGTTGTCATGTCCTTGTCACTTCTCACCTGTGCTACCCTCATCCACACGACAGCCAGTTTTTTCCCAGTCCCTGTTTCTCCTCAGGGCCTGCTATTTTTAACACCTAAAATGCAGAAGGAAGTCTGATCCCTCTTTTCCAGTTCTGGGGGACAAACATGACGATCCAGCAGTAGCTTTAGACTTTGCCAGGCTTAGAGCTATCAGCTTCTGTGGTCATCCAGGGCCTCATTTTTGAAAGGAGGAGACAAAGTCCAGAGAAGTGGAGAGACTTGGTCAAGCGGATCTGTGACCAAGGGTTAAGAGGCAGTGAGCCATGCCGTTCTCAAAGGAGGCAGCTTCCAGGTCCCTCTCCCTCCCTGGGAACAAAGGCACCAGGGACGCCTGCGGAAGGAGAAGGTGCGTCTTGGACTCAAGGACAGCAGAAGTGGTGGCTCTGGGCAGGGGAAGGCATGGGAAGAAACCGTTCCGCTGTAGGTCGAGGCACCTGTGGGAAATGGGGACCAGGCAAAGAAGGGGAAAGTATCTGGGAGAAGATAAAGAGGGTTTAGTTCCAGCTCTGAGGATGAAGGAAAAGCGTCATCCTGCCTTTTACCTGCAGGAGTCTATCCTTTCCCCAGGGAAAGCAGCCGCCAGCACTCTGGTCAGGAGCTGGGGTCCCAACCCCTGTAGCCCTGCTGTAGTAGAGACACCTCTTGGGGTGGAGGAAGACTTTCTGGGCCAGCAGTCAGGAGCATTAGACTCTGCTGATTCAACTCTTTGCTAAGCACCTACTGTGTGCCAAGCACTGCCCTCAGCAGGCAAGGTGTCCACTTCATGGAGTTTCTGTGCTACTGGGGAAACTGCTGATGAATGAATAAACACACACGTGATCGATATTATCTCAGATGATGATGTGCCGGGACAGCAGCCAGCAAATAATGGGACAGACAGTGACTAGATGGGTCACTACTACCTTGAGTTGGGAGAGAGGAAACAAGGAGGGCTTTCCTGAAGAGCGACATGTGACCTGAGATCTTTGTATTACTGGGAGGCAGCCATGTGAAAATATGAGGGAAGGGTGATCCTGGTGAGTGCAAAGGCCCTGAGGTGTAAATGACATTGAAATAGTTGGAAAAATAAGATTGGCGAGAGCAGCAGGCAGAATATAAAAAGATACACCCTGGGATATAGCTCGGCACAAGTACCTGCCTGGCAAGCACAAGGTCCTCAGTTCAATTCCTGGTACCAAAAAAGAGACACCTCTTTTCCGTGGATAGGATCTCAGTATACGCCATCTCCTTGTTGACTTCTAAACCTTGGGCATCTATGAGGTTAAAATAAGCCTCTCTGAACCTCTTTTGTATTTTTATTTTAGTAGCTTTTAGTGCACAAGTCACCCATTCAGGAGTCAGAGAACCTAAGTTCCAGGCCCAGATTTTCCAGTGGCAAACTATGTGTCCTTCGACAGGTCCCCTTTTTCACACAAACCGAGGATCGAGTCACTCATTCTAAGGGCCCTTCTGGCTGAGAGAGGTGGCACCAGGAATTCATTCTTATCCTATTAATTTGCAGCCCACACACTGATATGCTCTGCTTGTGTTTGCTCCTTCTCTCTGCAGGCGTGGTTTGGTGATTTGTGCGTAACAGATATTTTATTAGACACTTTTGAAAACAAACAGAGACAACCTGGGCATACGTTGAAGGGGATGATCAAATACACTGTGCAGCTATCTAAGGAATGAATCTGACTTCCATCCACTGAGCTGGAGAGACGTGCATAATGTGAGAACACAGGGAGCTGCAAAAGAGTGTGTTAGAGAATGACTCCTGTTTTTGTGTAGATGCCCTCGTGGGTGTTTGTGTTTGCAGGAAAAGTGGGGAGGACACAC